TATCTGGGATGAAATCTTCTTTGTTTTTTTTTTTTCGAATTGGATGTTACGCCATGATTTGCATTGTCAATTTGAACATAACTAAACATAATAAATTTGCACTATCAAAAAAAATTAGGAACAAAAAAAAAATACTACGAGTAAACTCGTTTAATTGTCGATGTAAAATCATAAGAACAACTATCAATATTTGTTCAAAAAAGAGGCATTAATAAACTATGGAATTAAAAATTTATCTCACAAATTTGAAATTGGTAAAGAAGCGCTTGATATGAAACCACAAGCTCCTTCCTAAAGAGCGAATAAAAGAAAATACATTCTTCTTAGGAGCCGACGAGCTAGTGATGCACTCATTATTCTCTTTTTTAAAATAGACGCCTCGACCAATCTCATGACACACTGCCTCGAGTCTTTGCTGATCAATTTCGTCGGCATTAGTGGAAGAGGAGGCATCACTAATATGAAAATAGCCAACTGCCAAGCCATCCTCAGAGGTGAATTTCATCTTCTCGAGTGACAAGTTATTCTCCCTTAATGTCATAGTCACATTAGATAGTAGACCATGACGATCCAATTTACGCACCTTCATCTTTAGCCCCTACACACATTTACAAATAAATATAAATATAAATTAGCCTGCAAAAATATCATATTTTTTATTCATCTAAAAAATACAAAAATCATACTTACTCGAGATTTTCTCCGTTCAATAGCACCTGTCAAACTTTGCATTATACTTTGTTTTTCCATTTCATTCAACATCTTGTATCCATTTGTCCGCCGCACAAAATATTCCTATATTTAAAACAAATTAAAACATAAACTCACATTTACAATTGACAATTTAAACGTAAAAATTATTTAAGTACCTGATATGCTACCGAATCTTGGGAGATAATCGATCCATGAAATATATTATAATCAAGATCAGTTAGAGCACACACCACATCAAACATCAACTTAGGTCTATCGCTACTCCTCACTTTCACAACTATGTAGTTTACATCTTTCCAGCTTTCAACCGACACATGCGGCAAACACACCTCTTTGTTATCTTCACTAACACTCTCAAAGCTCCTCTTATCTGCCATGATCGTTGGCATGCTTATTTGATCGTCATTGACTGATTGAAATCTTGATGCAACATCAGTAAATGTATACATATCCATCAACTGATGCAGCCGTCGTTCAGTATGAATTCGACATGCTGTGGAGCCTTTCAATGTCACCTTCCATAGTTCATTCGGGGAGTGTTGCATCCTTAAAACACTCGCCAAGTGCTCTGCTAGGGAATTGCACCTAATTGAATCTATGATAGGTTGACAGGTGCTTTGCTCCTTTAAATATAGGATACAAGCAACATGTCCATTGTAGGACCATAATTCTCCTGATTCCATAAAATATGATAGCTCAAAGAGCACGTTGGCAATCTGAGAAAAGATACCTGGTCGATCAAAAAAAGTTATTTCAAGGGCGGTGCAGTCCGAGGCAAAATGATCAACGGCGACTATGTTCCCATCACTAATTTTGACCTGTGTTGGATTAGAGGATCCGCATTGATTTTGGGCAGTAACAATAAGGGATTGTTGTATATGTCTTATGAAGGTTGAGTCTCTTATTTTATGTCCTTGAGGATGGGTGACATAAAATATGT